ATTGTTTATTAACTTTTAAAAATTTAAATAATTTAAAGTTTATTAAATTTTACTAAACTTTATTAAACTTGTTCTAAACTGAAATCCTATTATTTTGAAATAAATCCTTTTCTTTCCTTCCTCTATTCTTTTGTATGACTAGTCACTGCCTTGTAAATATAGATAATGCAGTCTAGTCACCTGCTGTTGTCTTCACTAATTGCATATTCCAAACCCTAAAAAATAAACATCTCCAAATTTAGCCTCAGATTTTCTGCAAATAAAATGTTCCCCTCCAAAAAAGGTATTGATAAATGTAGAAGATACTTCATAGATTAAAAAAAAACAGATTTTATAAGCAATGATGTAAATTACTCTCTTTTTCTTTTTTAAAAAATTAAAACCTGTGATAAAGTTACATTTTCAACTATGCAAAGTCACCTAAGCAATGGATCACATCTGTTATATAGTTAAACTAAACAAGCTATTTTAAAAAATAAGTTAAAATTCATTATTTAGCCTTCACTAAATAATTCAAACTTAGCTCTGTATAATAATAGATCTGATAGAACCACTAGAAAGTGCCATGTGTCCTCAGAACACTGCACAATTGTTTGGGCAGGGAAGGGCAAAGAAAAGAGAAGACACGAATTGCTTTAGAAGCACTAAGCCCATAAAATGGGATATTTTCTGGCAACTCAAAAAATTAAGTACTGGTACATGCTCAACATTGAAGAAGCATTATACTAAGAGCAAGCAGCCATTGCAAAATATCACATATTATAATGCATGATTCCATTTGTATGAAATATCCAGAATAGGCAAATTCATAGAGACAGAAAGTAGATTCGTGGCTGCCAGGGGTTGGGGAAAGGGAGATGGAGAGTGATGACAAGCTATACGGAGTTCCTGTTTGGACTGATGGAATGTTCTAGAATTAGAATTAGATAGTAGAAATGATGTTTGTACAACATAGTGAATATACTAAAACCACTGACTTGTACATGGTAAAATAGTGACTGTGATGATATGTGAATTATATCTCAAAAAAGATTTTATTTATTTGTTTATTTTTTTGAGACGGGGTTTCTCCATGTTGGTCAGGCTGGTCTTGAACTCCCGACCTCAGGTGATCCACCCGCCTGGGCCTCCCAAAGTGCTGGGATTACAGGCATGAGCTACTGCGCCTGGCCCTCAAAAAATATTTTAAAGCACTGGGTGCACTGCTTTAGTCTATTTTCTATTGCTTATAACAAAAAAATCTGAATCTGGGTAATTTATAAAGAAAAGGAATTTATTTTCTACAGTTATGGAGGTTGGGAAGTTCAAGGTCAAGGGGCCACATTTAGAGAGGGCCTTCCTGCTGATGGGGACTCTCTTCAGAGTACTGTGACGGCACAGAGCATTACATGGTGACGGTGCTCAGTGTGCTAGCACAGGTCTCTCTTCTTCCTCTTATAAAGCCACCAGTAGCAATCTTGTGCTAATCCAATAATCCATTAACCCATTAATCCATGAATGGATTAATTTCAGAGCCCTCATCACCCAATCACCTTTTAAGGACCCACCTTTCAATACTGCCATAATCGGGGATTCAGTGTCAACATGAGTTTCCGAAGAAACGAACATTCAAACCACAGCGCAAACCCACCAGGATGATTATAATCCAAAAGCCAGATAATAACACATGTGGAGAAATAGAATGCTCATACCCAGCTGGTGAGAATGTAAAACGGCAAAAAAACAGTCTGGCAGTTCCTCAGAAGGTAAAACACAGAGTTACCATTTGACCCAGAACTTCCACTCCTAGATATTTATCTAAGAGACGTGAAAATGTACATGTACACAGAAACATGTACATAAACATATATAGCAGCTTTATTTATAATAGCCAAAAGTTGAAAACAGCCCAAATGTCCCTCATCTGATGAACTGATAAAGTGTTTATCCAATGGAATATCAATCAGCTATAAAAAGAAATGGAGTACCTGCCACAACACAGATGAACCTTGAAAACATTTTGTCAAGTGAAAGAACCAGTCATAAAGGACCACATAGTATTATGAGTCCATTCATATGAAATGTTCCAAATAGACAATGCTGTAGAGACAGAGAACAGATAAGTAGTTGCCTAGGCATGGGGGTGGGGAATTGGGAGGTGGTGGCTAAATATTAATATAGAGTTTGTTTTGTTTTGTTTTGTTTTTGGGATGGACTCTCGCTCTGTTGCCAGGCTGGAGAGCAGCGGTGAGATCTTGGCTCACTCTATTCTTCTGCCTCAGCCTCCAGAGTATCTGGGATTACAGGCGAGTGTCACCACATCTGGCTAATTTTTGTATTTTTAGTAGAGATGGGGTGTCACCATATTGGCCAGGCTGGTCTCAAATTCCTGACCTCGTGATCTGCTCGCCTTGGCCTCTCAAAGTGCTGGAATTACAGGCGTGAGCCACAGTGCCTGTCCAATTATAGTTTCTTTAAGGGCAGGGAGTTATGAAAATGTTCTCACATTGTGATGACAGTTGCCCAGCTCTAAAGATCCTAAAAACCACTGACCAGTACACTTTAAATGGGTGAACTTTATGGTGTATGAATTATATCTCAATAAATCTCTTGGAAAAAATAAATAATACATCTAACAAAATTAATTTTAAGGGACATTTATTCCTTTTCCAATTGGTTCAGCAAAACCAGGTGGAAGAGAAGGTTTTAGCAGTTAGAAAAAAAGAATTCAAATCTGGGGTTTGGTCATTATGAAAATGAGAGAAGAAAAGACAAGAAGTGGTTTCACCATACAGACCTCTCCCTGATCCCAAAGCTTAATATGCGCTTGCCAAGTCAGAAAAGAGACACAGTTGACTCACAAGCAGGTTTGAACTTGAATAGAACCCTAGACAGGGCAGTCTAGGTGCCCAGGAGCCACTAGGCACAGCACAAGAGGGCAAAAAGTCAACACAGGGGAGTCTGGACCCTCAAGGTTTGGGAGTTTAAGCACCCCACTTCTGGCTCAGGGATTTGGGGAGAAGGGTAAACAAAACCTACTTGGAAAATAATTGGGGAAGAAAACCAAAAATTGCCTTCAACAGGGTGAGGACAGGGAAGGCAGCAGGGTCAGGGACAGGAGTATTTCATACCACTAACTAGGGAGGCTGTAAGGGACCATCTTCAACCGGCTGTAAGGGAAAATCCACAGGTGGGAGAGAAGGAAAGGGAACACGGCTGGTAGGATGCAATAGCCCTTTCCTTTCTGGGCACAGGAGGGCAGCCAGGGCATCAGGTCCAGGCAGTGACCTCACAAAGACAGCAGTTTTTGCAGCTTAGAGATCACCCACCTGGCCCACCCAGCTACTGTTTCTGCTCAGCGTCGGCTTGCGTGGGGCCACTCTCCGCCCCAAGGGAGTGGAGAGCTCTGCAGCCTGAGGCCCTGCCTCTCCCTCTGAGGCAGCACTAGCCTCTGCCCCCTCGGCCTGCGGCTCCTGGCTCTCAAGAGTGGCAACAACCTTCCCTTCCTGGGCAGTGGCCTCGTGGCGTCAGGCACTGATCTCCCCCTCCTCCTGATCATCCTCTGTAGGTGAGGAGGCAGAGGAATCACCCCACCCTCCTTCCGATTTCTCTTGAAGGACAGACAAGCTGCTCAATTTGAAAGCCTTCTTGAAAGAGATTTTTGGTTTTTTGAGACATGGTATCACTCTGTTACCCAGGCTAGAGTGCAGTGGTGCGATCTCGGCTCACTGCAGCTTCCGCGACCTTCCCAGGCTCAAGCGATCCTCCCACCTCAGCCTCCGGAGTAGCTGAGACCACAGCCCCACCACGCCCAGCTCTGTGTGTGTGTGTGTGTGTGTGTGTGTGTGTGTGTGTATTTGGAAGGCAGCTATGCTCACCATTATCAGAGCTTTTTTTTTTTTTTTTTTGTAGAGACGGGTTTTTGCCATGTTTCCCAAGTATTTTTGTAGAGTCAGATTCTTGCCATATTTCCCTGGCTGGTCTCGGACTCCTGGGCTCACGCGATCTGCCTGTCTTGGAGTCCCAAAATTCAAGGATTATAGGCGTTAGTAGCCATGCCTGGCCTTGAAAGACAATTTCATCTTCCTGGGAGTCTTCTTGCTGGGAAGGGAGGCTCCCCCTTGGTCTCAGCCCCCTGACTAGGGGGTGCTGGCTCCACATTGCCAGTGGCCCCGGCTGGCTACCTCTTCTGTTCCGTTCACAGGGACCGATTCCCTTTCACCCTTGGGGGATGTCACCATTGCTTTTCACGCGGCCACCCTCCTGTCAGTCGGCTACTGAGTAGGAAGTGCCAGCTGCCTCTGCAGCAGTCACGTCGCCCCGGGGAGCCTCGGAGCTCTGGCTGCCCACGATGAGGGTCTGCTGGGGTCGCTGGAGTCGCGCAGGGTCCCCGCGCAGGGCACAGTCACGCGGGACAGCCTGGCCGGCGGAGTGTCGGGGTGGGAGGGTTGAGGAACCGAGCCGCACCCCGCTCGGCTCCGGAAAGCCCTGGTAACCAAAATTCTTGAAACGCACTGGAGTCTGGCCTCGGCTCTACCTCTTCCCTAGTCCCGTTAAGCCTGGGAGGATGACTCGGAGAGTTTGGGGTCCTGCCGAGGAAAAGTTCAGAAACCAGAAGAGTTCCAGATTCTCCCCTTGCGTCTTTGAACCCGCCACCTTCTCCACAAGGAACCCTGAGGAGTGCCTGGGCCCTAGGACACCTTCTTGGGGTGAGTATGGCCGCTCGCCCTGGCTGGGCCCCGGGAGTCGGGTCGCCAGACGCCCCCTCCTGCCTTTCTCTGCCCGCGGCGGCGCCGGGACACCCTCTAGGGGCGGGTGGCCGTCCCCGCCGCTGCCAGGGCTGAGTCCCATCCGCGCCCGCGGTTCCCAGCGCGGGCGGGACCGCGGCAGAGGTGCCCTAACCGGTTGCACGGAAACCGCGCCACCCCCGGCTGCCCGCGGGGCCACCTCTGCGCGACTTTCCCTCAAAAACAAGGGCAGGGGCAGGGGAGGGCGGGGGGTGCCCCCAAAAGAAGGCGGGCCAAAGCGAGCGAGGCTCCCAGTCCCCGCGGAGGGGCCGGGGCAGGGCGCGCCACCCTTGTCGGATCTGCCAGGGGTCCGGAGCCGGCCACGCCCTGGTGGCGGTGCCCCCTAGCGGCCCAGGGCCGGGCGCACCCGGCGAGTTCGGGTCTCCTGCTCGGCGGGGAGGAGGGACCGCGTCTGCAGGGCGGGGCCTCCGGGCCTCGGCGGGGCGCGCACACGAAGGAGGGGGGCCGCGGTGCGGGCCCTCGGCGCGGCTGGCCGGGTTCCCGGAGCGTCGCCGCCGCCCATGGCCGAGCCGCTCCAGCCAGACCCCGGGGCGGCCGAGGTCGCGGCGGTCCAAGCGGTGGAGACGCCGGGCTGGAAGGCTCCGGAGGACGCGGGCCCCCAGGTAGGCGCCGACCCGGGAGCAGAGGGACCGGGCCGGCCTTCGGGCTGATGTGCGGTGAGGCCGGCGGGTCCGGTAGAGTTAAGTAAAAAGTACAATTTTTAAAATGGTCCGAGCCCCTACCCCTAATCTTAGGCAAACGAGAAACTCCAGTCATTTAGCTCTACCCTCCCGCTACGCGCAGTACAGGTCCCACCTCAATTTCTTGTCTTTGCTGGGTGGCGGGGCGGGGAGGAACTGGTTACGTCCCAGAACGCGCGGTGGAACCCTCCGAGCAGAGGGGGAGTCACAGATGCTTGTCTTTAAAGCGTGAATGGAGTCCCCAGCGTGAGGGGTTGGGGCCGCCGCGGTCCCTAATGGCAAGGAGGGGAACCTCTTGGAGGGGCTTTTCCCAGCCCTAAGGATCGGGGACCAGGCCGGACCCCAGGGCCCAGGGTGCAGCCCCTAGACAGGCCGGCTCCAGATCGACCCGAGATGATGGCACCGGTATTTTCGCATCTCACTCCTCCCCCTCTTAGAATTGCTTCTCGAAGTTTTCTCTATTCCACTTTAGCCCGGAAGTTATGAGATCCGACACTATGGACCAGCCAAGTGGGTCAGCACGTCCGTGGAGTCTATGGACTGGGATTCAGCCATTCAAACCGGCTTTACGAAACTGAACAGCTACATTCAAGGCAAAAATGAGAAAGGTAAAAGCAGTTTTCCTGGTAATTATGCATATTGTGATTCAGTCCCCAGGCTTACTATTGAGTGTTAGCTTATTAAAGAAGTATCCTTTATCATAGAAAAATAACCAAGTCATCAAAGACTTGTCTTGTTTTCAGACAAGACTCATCAGGACCAGGGTTTACACTGTTTTCAACCTCTGTTTTCTGATTTTGCTGCATGAACTGGGGTTGGGTGTAACTCGTGATAAGTCCTTTTCCACGGCTGACACTTCAAAATAATTTGGTGACTGGCAGGATCAGAGGCATCAGGAAACAAGGAGGTACCAAGATTAGAAGCATCAAGTCATAACTTTTGCTCTGGCTTTGCTGCTATTTATATTTTAGCAGGTCTCTTAGCCTGTGGGACCTCATTATCTGAATTGTAAAAAATAATTGACTGACCATGTAATCTCTAATTTCCCCTTTTATCTCTAAAAATTAAGAATTAACCCAAAATATCAGTATTACAGAAAGTGGTTTAATGTGGGGAGTAATTGAGTAATTTTGACCTTACTGTTTTAAGATGAAAATTGTATTAAAGGTAAATGTGTCAATAAAGTAAATCAAAACACAAAGATCAAAAAAGAATAGGTTAAATGTTTAAAGTAGCCAAAAAATACACTAAATTCGCTTTCATTTTTATGTCACAGAGATGAAAATAAAGATGACAGCTCCAGTGATAAGCTACGTGGAGCCTGGCTCAGGTCCTTTTAGTGAGTCTACCATTACCATTTCCCTGTATGTTCCCTCTGAACAGCAATTTGATCCGCCCAAGCCTTTAGAGTCAGATGTCTTCATTGAAGACAGAGCCGAAATGACTGTGTTTGTACGGTAAGTGGTAGCTAATTTATAGCCTTGCCGACTGGTAGTTTTACTTGCGTGCTCTCACAGTTTAGCGCCAATGCAATTTCAAAAGGCTTTTCACCCTTCGGTAAAATCAGATCTAATGCATTTTGTGATGTTTTCCTCCTGGCTTTGTTTTTTATGTTACCGAGGTCTGCTGAAGATAGAATCACTTTGTTTAATGAGTCTGTTGCATGCCCTTCATATAAGACACGGTGCAAACTACATGTCCCCAAGACAAAAGACTACAATATAGTTAGACCTGAACGAAAGTACCTTAAAACAAAAGTCTTAGTCTGTTCAGGTGTTTGTATCAAAATGCCATAGGCTGGGTAGCTTAAGAGAAACAGAAATTTCTCTCTCACATTTCTGGAGACAAGGACGTTCAAGTTAGAGGTGCTGTCACTTTCAGTGACTGGCGAGGGCCTGTTTCCTGGTTCATGGATGGAACCTTCTCGGTAATATCCTCACGTGGTGGAAGAGCCAAGGCAGCTTTACTGGACATGTTTTACAAGTCTCTACTCTCAGGACCTCATCGCTTTTCCAAGGCCTCCTCTCCTAATATACGATCACATTAGTGATTAGGTTTTCAAAATACGAATTTTGAAGCCAAGCACTTTGGGAGGCTGAGGCAGGTGGATCACTTGAGCCTGGGAGTTAGAGACCAGCCTGGGCAACGTAGCAAGGCCCCGTCTCTACAAAAAAAAAAAAAAAAAAAAAAGTGTATGTGTGTGTGTGTATATATATATGTACACACACACACCACACACACACACACACACACACACACACACACACACATATATGCATGACAGGTCTCATGGCATATGCCTGTGGTCCCAGCTACTTGGGAGGTTGACATAGGAGGATAACTTGGGCCCAGGAGGTCGAGGCTGCAGTGAGCCATGACTGTACCAGTGCACTCCAGCCTGGGCAACAGAATGAGATCCTATCTCAAAAAAAAATGTATATATGAATTTTGGGGAGACACAAACATGGAGTTCATAGCATTCTGCCCTGACCCTGTAAAATTCATATCATCTTACATCTGGAATACATTCATTCTATCCCAATAGCCCCAAAAGTCTGAATTCATTCCAGCATCAACTCAAAAGTCTAAATTCATCTAAAGATCATCAAAATCAAACCTGAGGCTCAAGGTACAATTCATCCTGAGGCCAATTCCCCTCCATCTGTGAACCTGTGAAATCAAACATGTTACATGCTTCCAAAATACAATGGTGGGACAGACAGAGGATAGCTACCCCGTTCCAAAAGGAAGAAATAGGAAAAAAGAAATGGGTAACAGGTTCCAGGTTAAGTTCTAAGTCTTCGGATTCGTTTTCTGTGACTCAGAGCTCTTCCCTCTAGGCCCACTGGGATGAAGGTCCCACTTGTGAAGCTCTGCTGAACAGAGGTTGGGCCCCCAAGGCTTCAAGTGGCCCTGCCCATGGCTGTGGATGGCTCTACCCCATTGCAGCTCTCACAGTTGGAGGGACCCCCTGCAGTTTTACCTGGCTCGCTATGGTACACCGGTGGCCCTCCCAGTCTCGTGCGCCCTGCTCCCATGGCTCCATTTGCCATTTCCCTATTGGGGACTCTGCAGGTAGCTCACTCTCACTATGGCTTTCTGCTTTGGTCACATACCCAAGGCCCTGGGCAGCTCCATCCTTCAAGATGAATATAACCAAACCCTCGCAGCTCATGTACTCTTCAAGATGGCATCATGTGGATGCTGCCGAGGTGAACTGCCTGTGTCTTCCGGAGGGACGGCCATTGCAGCCCAGGCCACACCTCAGCCCACTGGAGCTGAACCTGGGGCATCCAAGGAGGACCGCGCTGGAATGAGGGAACGTAGTGGCCAGGCAGTGCTAGGCAGTGAGTTCCAAGGCCCCCAGGTGCCCAAAGACCCTCCTTTGAAATTCTTCTGCCCCCCTAGGCACTGCAACTTGGCATGTGATGGGAGAGGCAGCTCATAATTTCTGAAATGCCTTTGGCACAGTTCTTCCCTTAGCCTGGAGAATAGGTCCTGGTTTCTGTTTAGATGGCGGTACCACAGTAATCTCCTTATCAAAGGTTGCTTGCCTTACCCTTGTTGTCTCTTGAACAAGCTTTCTCATTTCTTTTCATATGGATAGGCTAAGAATTTTCCAAATGTTTAAGTTCTGCTTCCCTTTTGATTAAAAATTTACTCTTTAAATTCTCTCTTCTTGTATTCTACTATCAAGAGAAGCCAAGCCATAGCTTCCATTCACATTTTGCTTAGAAAATATTCAGCCAAGGCTGTGCGCGGTGGCTCATGCCTGTGATCTGAGCACTTTGGGAGGCTGAGGCGGGCTGATCACCTGAGGTTGGGAGTTTGAGACCAGCCCGACCAACATGGAGAAACCCCATCTCTACTAAAAATACAAAAATTAGCCAGGCTTGGTAGCGTGTGTCTGTAATCTCTGCCACTCAGGAGGCTGAGGGAGGAGAATCGCTTGAACATGGGAGGTGGATGTCGCAGTGAGCCGAGATCGCGCCATTGCAGTCCAGCCTGGGTAACAAGAGGAAACTCCATCTCAAAAAAAAAAAGAAAGAAAGAAAGAAAGAAAAAACAAGATAATATTCAGCCAAATATCCTATTTCATAACCCACAAGTTACACTGTCCACATTACACTAGGACACAGTTTCTTTGCCACGTCATGACAAGGATCACCTTTCCTCCAGGTTCCAATAAATGTTCCTCATTTCATTCCAAGACCTTATCAAAATGGCCTTTACCTCAAACCACCATGACCCGGTTTAACTCCCACCCTCTCCTTAGAGTGCCCTTGCCTTCCTTGGCAGTGCCTCTGTATCTGTCACTGTGGTTGCCGTCGTCTCCCACGTGACCCCTGCAGCAGTCATGTGTGGACCAACCTGGTCCCTTAATACTCACTTATCCTTTAACTTTCAGAGTGTCACTCTTGTCATTTCTCCCCTCCGGTTTCTTTACCTCGGTTGGTTCCTCCTCCGCTTCTCACCCTAGGAACACTGTTGATGCCCGTTTTTGACCCTCATTTCATAGCTGACTTGTTCTGAGTGATCCATTCATATTGCTTCAACTCCCTGAGTCGAATGATCCTCAAATCTAGTATATGTTTCCAGATCTGATTTCCCTGCTTGTTGGACATCTCTGTTTTGGTGTTGGGGGAATCAAAATCAACAACCCTAAAATGAGCCTTCCCCCAGTTCCCAAATCTTCTCTGATCTTACAGCGCCTGTCTCCGTTGAGGGTCGCATCAGCTAGATAGCCTCCTTTTTTTTTTTTTTTTTCGTTTTGAGACGGGGTTTCGCTCTGTTGTCCAGGCTGGAGTGCAGTGGCATGATCACAACTCACTGCCTCCTGGAACACCTGGACTCAAGGGATCCTCCCACTTCAGCCTCCTGAGTAGCTGGCACTACAGGTGTGTGCCACCGCCATGCCCAGCTAATTTACAATTTTTTGTAGGGATGGGATCTCATTATGTTGCCCAGGCTGGTCTTGAACTCCTGAGCTCAAGCAATCTACTTATCTCGGCCTCCCAAAGCACTGGGTTTTCAAGCATGAGCCACCTTGCCTAGCCAAGACAGTTTCCTGAGCAAGGAACTTACAGTCACCATCAGTACACGGTTCCTGACAATTGGTTCCAAATCTGTCCCCTTCACCTCAAAAATGATTCCAGGCTTTGTTCCCCTGTCTGCATCGCCATGTTACTTATTCGAGTCTTCATCTTATAGGGACCGCACTAAGTTATCTTTGTGTACCCCAGTTCTCGGCACATGCCTGACACCCCCAATAGATACTAGGATGTTCACTGATCTCCGTTATTTCTTGACTGTTTCACTTGAGTAGCCTGCAAGCCGTCTTCACTGCCACCAGCCTTTTCCTCTCCTCTTCCACACTGGAACTGTGATCTTTCTCAACGACAAAAGCCCAGACTCTCCGTCACATTCCTCTTGCTTCCCCAGGGAAGCTCAGATTGTTCACACAGTGCAGCGCTTCACGTGACCTGGGCCAGCCCTGTCTGTGCAGCTCCCCTTCCCACCACGTGTGCTTCTCACCCTTCACAGAACATGCCATGTTCTTCCACATCTTGTTACCTTTGACCTCAGGCACATGAGTCCACTTTTCCTTGCTAAAATCTGAAGGTTTTAAAATGCATATAATCATAGTACTTACCTATCTCATAGAGTTGCCATGAAGATCAGATGAGTTAATTTACGTAAAACACTTGGAACATGAGCATCAAACACTCCTAGCTCTAGTACTCTCTTTTCTCTCTTCCTGGAGAGCCCACTGTCATCCTTCAGGACAAATGACACCTTTTCTGTGATGCCTTTTTCAATTTCTCCATTTAGCTAGCGACTCTGCGCTTGGTGCCCTTCCTTCTATTCTTCCTCTTCTAAGTAATAGTGACTATTTTATAGACTGAAACTTCGTCAAGAATATGACAGCGTGTCTCTGTGTTCATATATTCCAGCCCCTGGCAAGGCAGGCATATGGGGGTGAGAGTGGTGGGCACCATTTTGTGTTCTGAGTAAAACAGTGACTAGATCATTGTGAAACAACACATATTCAGAGAACAAAAGCTGATTTCTAATTAGAGGGTTCAAGATTTGATTTTTAAGGGAAAATGAATTTGAAAACAAATTCCTTTTAGGCAGAACATGCTAAGCATTGGTTATTGGTTATTATTAAGGAAATAAATGACATATTTCAGAGCCAAAATATTTCTTTTTTCTTTTTTTGAGACGAAGTTTCACTCTTCTTGTGCAGCCTGGAGTGCAGTGGCACAATCTTGGCCCACTGCAACCTCCACCTTCCAGGTTCAAGTGATTCATCTGCCTCGGCCTCTGGAGTAGTTGGAATTACAGGCACCCACCATCATGCCTGGCTAATTTTGTATTTTTAGTAGAGACGAGGTTTTACCATGTTGGCCAGGCTGGCCTCAAACTCCTGACCTCAGGTGATCCACCCGCCTCGGCCTCCTAAAGTGGTGGGATTACAGGTGCAAGCCACAGTGCCTATCCCAAAATGTTTCTTAACATGTGGTTCAGAATTATAGTCAAATGACATAAAGATGATAGAAGAGTTCTATCAGCTCTCCTGTGGTGTTTATACATGTGCATGCCGAGATTCCTAACTTGACAGGATTAAAGGGAACTGCAGGCCAGGAATGGTTCTAGGTGCTAGGTAGACATTGTTACATAGAACAGACATGGTTTGTACCCTTGAGAAATGGTATCTCATCTGAAGCATGGTAGGATTGATTTTTTGCATTGGCGCATTGATAACAGAACTTAAATCAAATAAGGTATATTAAGTACACTTTGGTTTCTCAGTGTTCCTTATTCTTAACTCTCGAAATCAAATTCATCATGCTTGTGTGGCAGCAGCTCAGCTAGGTCAGTGATTTAATCTCAGGATGTTTTTGTTTATCTACTGAAAAATCTATTCTTAAACTTTTATTCTCTTTTCCCACTTCTTATTTTAACCTTTTGACTGTCTTTTCTTCCACATCCCCACAGAAGCCTCCTGACTGGATCCTTCCTCACCAATCTATTAGCTGTTAGCTTACATTCTAATCCAGATCTGATCAAGTTGCACCTTGCTGCTCAACATCCTTGGAAATAATCTCAAACTGGCCTTAGGCTAATGTACAAGGTTCTTCCTTCTAGCTCTGACTCACCTTCCTGGCCTCATTTTCTGCCTCACTAGGAAAACACTTGGTATTTTTAGATGGATGGTCTCTTTCCTATCACTCCCCTTTCTTTGTTCAGCAAAACCGTCCTCCATTCAGGGCCCAACTCAGATGACCCTCCTTACCCCAGATTTAACCACGTCCTCAATGCTCCCACCACACATTGATCCTGTCCCTGTTTGTTTAAAACCCTTCTCAGAGGCTGGGCGTGGTGGCTCATGCCTGTAATTTCAACACTTTGGGAGGCCAAGGCAGGTGGATCACTTGAGCTCAGGAGTTTGAGACCAGCCCGGGTAACATCATAAGACTGTCTCTACAGGTTTTTTAAAAAAATTAGTCTGGTGTGCACCCGTGGTCCCAGCAACGTCAGGAGGCTGAGGTGGGAGGACTGCTTGAGCCCACGAGGTCAAGGGTGCAGTACGCTGTGCCATCATATTCCAGCCTGGGCAACAGAGTGAGACCCCGTCTCAGAAAAAACACACACACAAAAACAACGAAACAACCTTCTCAGGATATATAGAGAGAGCTGCCAAAACGTTGATCTCTTCCATTGGATCATAAATTCAGAGAGGTGAAAACTATAACATATTCATTTGTAATCCAGTGCTTATTCTTTTCCTTAGGAGAGAAAAAAGGGCAGTGTTCAAGAGAAAATCGAGTCTGGAAAAGGGGCTTCTGCATGGGTGTCAGTGTGGTCCTCCCTCTGATCAACAGCACCAGCATGGGTGTGGGAGCGTGGTAGAAAAGCAGACTCGGCTGGGTGCCGTGGCCCACGCCTATAATCTCAGCACTTTGGGAGGCCAAGGCGGGAGGTTCACCTGAGGTCAGGAGTTCAAGACCAGCCTGGACAACATGGCAAAACCCCGTCTCTACTAAAAATACAAAAAAAAACTAGCTGGGCATGTTGGTGCACGCCTGTAATTCCTGCTACTCAGGAGGCTGAGGCAGGAGAATTGCTTGCACCTGCAGGCAGAGGTTTCCGTGAGCAGAGATCACGCCACTGTACTCCAGCCCGGGCAATAGAGAGAGACTCTGCCTCAAAAGAAACAAACAAAATGTAGACTCTCAGGCTCCACCCCAGACCTGAACCTGCATTGTAGCAAAATCCCCAGGTGACCTGTGTGCATGTTAAAGGTTTGAGAAGCACAAGGTATAGCACTTGAGACTGTATAGGTTCCAAATCTGCGTGTCAACAGATGGAAGGAGGGGATGCATCCTCCTGGGTTTCCTCAGTGCTTCTGAGGTCACACAGAGACCGGGAATCATAGGCAGGAGTGGTCGGTTCATCTGCTGAGAGGGAGTAGCTTTTCTAATTTTTACTTTTTGAAAAAGAGTCTTGCACTCTGTCGTCCCAGGCTGGAGTGCTGCAGTGCTCTCCTAAGGAAAAAGGAAAAAGCAGTGCTGCAATCTTGGCTCACTACAACCTCCACCTCCCAGGTTCAAGCAATTCTCCTGCCTCAGCCTCCCAAGTAGCTGGGATTACAGGCGCCTGCCACCACACCTGGCTAACTTTTGTATTTTTAGTAGGGATGGGATTTTACCACGTTGGCCAGGCTCGTATTGAACTTCTAACCTCAAGTGATCTGCCCACCTCGGCCTCCCAAAGTGCCAGGATTACAGGCATGAGCCACCGCTCCTGGCCGTGAAGGGGTAACTTTGAAGCTGCGCTTCACCCAACATTCACAGTACCAGAGCCGGCTTTTTGCTTCAGACTGACATTCACAGTTATTTCCTTTCTCCTTTGCAGGTCTTTCGATGGATTTTCTAGTGCCCAAAAGAATCAAGAACAACTTCTGACATTAGCAAGCATTTTGAGGGAAGACGGAAAAGTTTTCGACGAGAAGGTTTACTACACTGCAGGTTACAACAGTCCTTTCAAATTGCTTAATAGAAATAATGAAGTGTGGCTGATTCAAAAACGTGAACCCTCCAAAGAAAACGAATGAGAAAATGAAAGGAAGTTCCACTGTCAGAGGCAAAACGACTGTTTATCATAGACATCAACAGGACCTAAAAGTCAAGTGCTTGTCTAGTGTCCTCTATTGAGAATACCACTGTTAATTAAGCTTACTTAGTGTTAATTAAGCTTATTTCCAATGTGCCTTTTTAATGCGTGAAGCTTTATCTACATACACAGGAAACAGAAGGCAGTAGTCTGTAAACATATAAATTGGTCATAACTATGGTGGTCTTTATTTCTGTGAGGATCCAGGGAAATTTCATGACACATCCCTCTTTTCCACTCTATCACTATCATATTGCCTTTTTTTTTTTTTCTTCTTGGAATTGTGTCAGTTGGATGAGATCTCCTCCAGATAGTATCAATAAAAATGTTAAGATTTATCTTGTGTGGAACCACTGGGCTGTCAGGCCCAGAGACGTGAAGTTCAGTTTTTGCAGCTGCCACCACACATTCTCTGTTGAACCCGCTCACGCATCCTCCCACTGCCCCACTGGACAAGAATACTCCATTTCAACATAGTTAATTCATTCCTTCCTTTCTGGTCTCCACCCCCTAAAAATCTTGCTTTTCCCCCTAAACATTTAATTAAATTGTCACGTATTTTCTAGTGGGTTTTTTTGTTTGTTTTGTTTTGTTTTTGAGATGGAGTTTCCTCTCGTTGCCCAGGCTAGAGTGCAATGGCATGATCTCCACCTACTGAAACCTCCACCTCCCGGGTTCAAGCGATTCTCCTGCCTCAGCCTCCTGAGTAGCTAGGATTACAGGCATGCACCACCATGCCTGGCTCATTTTGTATATTTAGTAGAGATGGCGTTTCTCCGTGTTGGTCAGGCTTATCTCAAACTCCCGACTTCAGGTGATCCGCCTGCCTTGGCCTCCCAAAGTGCTGGGATTACAGGCATGAGCCACTGTGCCTGGCCTCTGTTATGTATTTTCATTCATTCTTTAACCCATCATAGGGAGTCCTTGCTGTGTTGCAAGGACTCCACTAAGGGCTGGGAAGTGGTGAGCAAATCTGTCCCAAGCCCCTCATCACTGACTTTACTAGCTCCAACAGCATCTTTCCACTCACTTACCCATTTCATTCCCTCCCGCTGTGAAGACGACAGACAAGGCCCCTGGCCTTATGCAGTTTACATTCTGGAGAGTAAGGAAGTTCAACACAAATAAGATACTTGAAATTGGCCAAGTGTGATCAAGAACTGCAATAGGGTAGCGGGGTAGAGTGTGGTTAGGTAGGGGCTGGTGGCTATCACATACGGTGGTCAGCAAAGGCCTCTCAAGAGACACCTGAGACTTGAATGATGAGGAGGAGTCGGATGAAAGCCAGAAGCAGAGGTGAGGGGAACATCTTGGGCAAACGTTAAAGGAGGAGGCCACGTTCGGTGCCCAGAACAAAAAGCCGCACACACTGCTTGCTGAGCAAGAGAGCACTGCTCTTGTAGGGCACAGTCTCTCCAGATAAAAAAAACTGCTGACCTTATGCAGGGCTTTAGGAAGGATTAACAGACTTTCAAAAGCATTTAGGAGTTCATGGAGCTCTAGTTGTGGAGATGCAGTTACCAGAATGAGGCCACTGCTGATGAGCATAATTCAGAAGCCTGGTTTAGAGGTGAGGTTACTGATGCGTAATTGTCATTGATTGTTTCTGGTACTTAATTGTTACTGTGGCCAAAGAATGGTCAGTTTTATTCTGGGATTTGAAGTTATGGCAGACAACCTGAGGTGTGCCACTCAAATTGACCTTCAAGAAGGTACCGGCCACCCAGCCGTGAGGCGTGTGGTTCGCTAACAGCTTCCCCTGTTACTGTCTTCAGGATCTACCTCAGATTTCAAGATAAGGACACACTATTCTGTGGGAGAGAGGGGACCCTAGTCTACAACTGAGCAAGGCAGTGGTCGCTGACAGCATGCTTTTTTCTGGCAACTTCCAACCATTAACTGAGCAAGGTGGTGGTACAAGAACTAGCCATTTAGGCCAGGTACAGTGCTTCATATCTGTCATTCCAGCACTTAGGGAGGCCAAGGTGGGAGGATTGTGTGAGCCCTGGAGGTCAAGACCAGCCTGAGCAACCTAATGAGACTGGCTGTCCAAAAAAACAAAAAATTAGCCAAGTGTGGTGGCATACACCCGGAGTCCCAGCTACTCGGGAGGCTGAGGCAAAAGGATTGCTTGAATTTGGGAGGCGGAGGTTGCAGTGAGTCATGATCATGTCACTGTACTCCAGCCTGGGTGAAACCCCTCTAATAAACAGTCTCTGCCAGGCATGGTGGCTCACACCTGTAATCTCAGCACTTTGGGAGGCTGAAGCAGGTGGATCACCTGAGGTCAGGAGTTGAGACCAGCCTGGCCAACATGGTGAAACCCTGTCTCTACTAAAAATACAAAAACCAGCTGTGTGTGGTGGCGTGTGTCTATAATCCCAGCCCAGCTTCTCCGGAGGCTGAGGCAGGAGAATTGCTTGAACCTGGGAGGTGGAGGTTGCAGTGAGCTGATATTGTGCCACTGTATTCCAGCCTGGGCCACAGAGCGAGACTCAGTCTCAAAATAAATAAATAAATAAATAAATAAATAAATAAATAAATAAATAAACAGTCTCTGCCCTGGAGCTTTTTGGTGGGCTAGATCCTATAGGACTTTGTTAGATCCTGCAGTTCCTCTGCTCAATCCTGCTTTTCCCTTTCCCTTTTAGAGATGTCACTTCACCAGCTTTGTACTCCTAACTGCATTTCAGCCCAAAATTGGCACAATTGGTACCAGTGGCCCACGAATGTAGGTGGTAAGACAGCATTTGCAGGCTGAGTGACTCACTGTCTGGCTTGGGGGCCCCCATCCCTGGTGGATAGGCAGCAGAGACAGCTCCTGGCCCAAGAAGGCTGTCCAATGATGAAGACTTCAGATGAAACGGCAGGCTGGTGCAGGAGAATGCAGTGACTCGGGGCTGATTTGGGTGTCTCCAGTATGGGAAGGGTGGATAACAGAGACAAGGACAGTGGACTTGCACGGTTACTGCTGAGTTGGATTGGCGTCCTGCAAGTGGATAATGAAAAGCTGAGGTCAGTTAACAAACAATACTAAGTGTGAGCGGCAGAGTCTCTGGTAGCTTGCCAACAAGTCCTCCTCTCTCGCTGTAGCCGGGCAGAGCAAGCTGAAGGTCAAGCACAGGATTTGATGGTAAAAGTAGCTAATGGCCAACAAATATTCAACCAAGCCAGGCCTGTTCTATCGAGGTTGGAATAAAATTTGGGAACCTAAAACATGGGATGGGGCCATTCAGTGGATGTCCCCAACCATTTGACTCCCTAGGAGACTCCCTGAATATTCAGAGCCTGCAGAAGAGGCCCACCCTTCCGCATATAGAGCTGGAACTACTCTCTCTTTCTGCCTCTTCCCTAACACAAGGAAAGACAGTGTCCAGGGTCTTTCCCCATGAGGCAACAGAGCCCCTTCAGGAGCACTCCCCACCCATTCTCCTGGCTACCAGGCCTATGAGACCTAAGTCACAACATAACTGGTTGCGGCAGAGAGGTCTGACCAGGGAGAAATGGGCTCTGTTAGAGGAGCTGTCTAACCTGGTGGCATATACTGCAGGGGCCAGGAGCGTACTCTTGGGACTGGATCCTGAGGGTGCTTGGTCAAAGGGGCCGGGCTTATACAACTAGATAAAGGAGAGGGTATACTGACTTGGGGCTCTCAGGATACAGGATTTCACACCACGAGAAAAATGCCAGGAGATAATATAGACTCACTGCTCTAGGGCAGCTTGTTAGAAGCCTAGAGTGATCAAAATGTTGAAATGCCTCAATGGCTGGAACAAACAGTAGAGAAGGGAAGAAGAAGGCTTGGGGAAGGGAGCAGGCCAGCATGGATATACGAGGCAAGGTGACCCACTAGACAGTTATATTCCACGGGAAGGCCCAAGGGACCCATCCTTCAGCATGGCCGAGAATGCACTGATGAGTGGGCTTGAGCATCATGAAGGAGCTCAGTGGTGCCTCTCCTTGGCAGGCTGGGGCTGGCAGGAAAGGTTGTGATGGAACTTTGCTTGCTGAGAGCAATCTGGATGATGATGAAGAGCCCAGGTGGCTCTTCAGGTCTGCAGGTTATCTAGTTGGTTATATGCCTAATCCCTGAACATGTAATTGAGATTGGCATCCTTGGCAGGCAGAATAACCCCTACACTTGTTTCCTGACCTGTGGGGAAAGAGTATAAACTTCTAAACTCCTCCTCCAAACAGGGCAGTAAACCATAATCAAGGTTGCCTTGAACTATGTTTTTTTTAAGCACCTCAGGTGAACATCTGCTTCTGGCCATGATGGTGAAATGGGAACCCCACTTACCCTTCCCTCTTAGACAACTAAAAACCCAGACAAAATATATGAAACAATGGTTTTCAGATACTGGAAGTTCATAGTACAGGACTGTGATCTCTGAGAGAAAGGGGAAAAATGAAGTGAGTCCAATGATTGCTCAAGCTAATGGCCTGGAGGCAGTTTCTAGTCAGCAAAGCAGGGAGCGGGAAGCCAGAGACCAGTGGTCCTGCTGGGTTGAGGAGGCAGAGATCAGTGTCAACAACTCAGGCCTAGCTGGGTAGAACTTGTCGGGCAGAGTGAGAGGAGAGGAGGAAGCAGCACACACAGGAAGCGCCGTAGATCTGCAGGGGTCCTCTAGGGTCCTTGGTTGGCTGAAGGTGTAAGAAGAAACTACCCAAGCCAAGAAATGAGTAACTGGAAAGCAGTAGAGCAACTAATTTACAGATCATCTATGGGGCTGGGAGAAGTTTGTGTTCTGACTAGCCAAAGTAGAAATAACTCATAATTCATGGAGTCCTCAAAAGGATGTTGCCTTAGTACTAAGGTCATATTGTCCCTAGACCAAAGGCTTCTTTGAGCTTCCCCTGAGAAAGCTTAAAAGTAAGCCTTGGAAGGATCAAACTAATTTCAAGAAACTTAACTGAAACAGAATAAAGCCCAATACTTTTTATAGGAATATAACAAAATCCATCAACAAACAACATAACACTCATAATTCCCAACATTCAGTAAAAAATTACTAGAAAC